TGCCACCCCCTTCCTTCCCCCAACACAGGGAAGGAGAGGAATAGATCTCAGGGTACACGGGGCCAGGACTGGCCCATGGCCTCTTCACCTTGGCATTCCGATAGCTCGGACGGTGCCTGACACAGATCCGGGCTCCATAAATGAGTGTGAACAAACGACTGACTGCTGCAGAAAGAGGGCACAGTGCCCCATGTCACTGATTGTTTTAAAAAGTGAAAGCCTGGCCCTGGCCAGGTGGCTCAGTTGGTTGGAGTGTCCTCCCAAAAGGTTGTGGGCTCGATCCCCCATCAGGGTGCATTCAGGAGGCAACTGATGGATGTTTCTCTCTCTCTCCCCACCCTAAAAAATCAATAAAAAATATCCTCGTGTGAGGATTTTTAAAATGTGAAAACCTGATATAAAAACCACTGAGCAGTATCCACTAAAGTTGAACATACTATGACCTGGCAGTTGCGCCCCTAAGTGTCTACTTAACAGACATGTGTACCTATGTTCCCCAGAAGACATTTACTAGAATGCTCTTATCAGAGCTTACTGCAATAATAGTCTGGAAACGCCCCAAAAGCTCATCAAAGAGCAATGAATACGTGTAATGAGTTACAATGGGCCTTCTGTAGCTGTAGGTTCTGAAGATCAAAATTATTTGAAAAAAAATGTTATGTCGTTGCTGACGTGTACTATGTAGTTAGGTCTACAATGATTACTTCTGCACTGAGCACACACCGACTTTTTCCTTGTGTTATCTCCTAAACAATACAGTATAACAACTGTTTACATAGCATGTACCTTGTACTAGACGGTAGAAGTAATCTAGAGATTATTTAAAATACACAGAAGAAAGTGTGTAGGTTACACGCCAGAACTATGTCATTTTCTATGAGGGACTTGAGCATCTGAGGATTCTGGTTTTCTGAAACTGAGAAGAAGAAAGTTGGGGTGAACATAGACACCAAGAGAAAGCACTCAAACAACTCATGTTAGAAAAGAGGTCAAAAGGGAGCCTCCAGAGGACAGGGGGGGGAAGCCAGGAGGTGAATGGTAGTAATGGCTTTCTCTGTTTTGGGGTGAAGCATGGGCTGACCTTTCTTCAGTTCCCCAAACGCGCTCGCTCTGCCCTCTGGGCCTTTGCACAAGCCCTCTCTTCTCCCAGCTCTGCTCTTCCCTTGGTCTCTGCTTGGGGCCTGAGCTTGTGGTTGAGTTTGGACTAACGAGTCTCACTCACCTGGGTTTGAATCCTACTTAGTCTTTAAATCTCAGCTTAGACCTCACTTGACCCAGCCTTTCATGACCCCTTGAAATCTGGGCACGTTGTATTTCTCTCTTATAGCACCTACCTCACTGAAATTCTTCACATCAGACTGGAAGCCCCTGGGGAGTAGGCACACCAGCCTTGCTGGGCATCCCCAGGGCCAAGCACAAAGCAGGAACTCAACGTATTCATTGAAAGAATAGCGCAAAGTGCTCTGGCAGCCCTCAGACGATGGACCACCTCACAGGACTGGTTTCTTTTCTATAACATGTAAGTAGTCACTTGCCCAGAAGCCCAAGTTCCTTTATCTGATTTTTAGCATCTTCCCTTTGGGAGAAGATGGAGCCAGGCACTTCTTATTTATGGTTGAAGCTTAATACTTTGGGTGGATCTGACCATATCCTTCTGAAGTCAAAATGCAGCGTGCTACAAAAATAATGCTAGGCAGGGAGCAGCATCCACATGGAGATACTAGAGGCTGTCAGAGGAAGTGGTCCCAGAAAAGTGGAAGCAAGGGTGGTCTCTAGACTTCAAGTTGCTCTAAGACCCTTTCTGTTCGTAGCTGTCTGGATTCGCACAGGCACGTTCTCATTGCTTCCCAGAGAAGTGCCTCCCTCTTGAGCAGTTTCCCAACCTCAGTGCTATGGACATTTGGGGACAGTTCATGCTTTGTTGTGGGGGGTTGTCCTGTGCATGGGAGGGTGTTTAACAGTATAGTGGGCTGAATGGTGTCCCCCCAAATTCACGTCCATCTGGAACCTCAGAACGTGACCTTGTTGGAAATAAGGATCTTTGCAGTTGTGATGAGTTAAAGATCTGGAGATGAATTCATGTTGGATTTAGGCTTGGCCTTGAATCAAATGACTTCTGTCCTTATAAGATGAGGCAACGCTACACAAAGGCACAAGGAAAAAGGCCATGTGAAGAGGGAGTGATAGGGCTACACGTCAAGAAATGCCAAAGATTGCCAGAAGCCCCGGGAGGCTGGGAAGGTTCTTCCATAGCACCTTCAGAGAAAGTGTGGCCTTGCCAACACCTTGATTTTGGACTCCTAGCCTCCAGAATCATAAGGCTCTACACTTCTGTGGTTTTAAGCCACCTCATTTGAGATTATTTGTTACAGCAGCGTTGGGAAACTAATACAAGTGCCGTCTCCGGCTTCTGTCCTTTAGATGACAATAGCACCTCCGCCCTTGATTGTAACAAACAAAAATGTCTGCAGATGTTTTCAAATGTCCCCTGGGAAGGCAAAAGAGTCCCTCACCTACCCCCCACCCCCACCCCCTGCTCTAAAGGGGTGGATATGATGAAAAGAGAGGGCAGAGTTCTGGATTTGAATTTCAGCCCCACCCAGAATAGCTACGTGACCTCGAGAAAGTTGCTAAACTTCCCTAAGGCTCAGTCTCCTCATGAGTGAAATGGGGGTTGAGAAGGCGCCCGTGCCTCGCGGAACCAGCACAGAACCAGCTGTCGCAATGAGATGATGCACCGAAGGTGCTTAGCACAGCGTCCAGCACGTAGGCAGCAGTCAAAGGCAAAAGAGTAACTGAAACAATCATTGTTATAAGTTTTTTATGAAGCAATAATATTGCCTAATTGGTAATAAATATATTAAGAAATAACAATGGCGATTGTCATCATTATTTAAAGCTTGCGAGCTGAGTCAGTTTTTCACATAATAATCTACTACGGGCTGCTGCCAAATGACAGCTGTTTCTAAAGGGCACCACATTGCTTGCTGTGGACTGCATGGTCCTTCCCCAAAATTCCAGGTATTGCATTGTGATTCCCCACTGGATCTTCCTTAGAGCGTCACACGACATATTTTCCCACCACCGATACCTCCTGCACCACTGGGCCCACTGTATCGCACAGCCCAGGTGACAGGGTTGTTTGCACCATAGCCGAGACCTGCTGCAGGGCCCTTTCATTCTCGGGGCCCTCTTGGGACTGGCATCCATTTGTATCACCTGGCCCATGAGCATATTAAGTATTTCTAAATGTGGTCTGCATTGCTCCCAGAGCCCGAAGAGGCCTACCAGCAGGGAGAGGAAGGCGGTGGCAGGGTTCAGCCTCTCTGCCATCCTCTCCAGTAATCCAAACCTGTGTCCCCTAAGCAGCAAAACAAAAGTCCTTTGGAGTTTAGTGACTACATGGTCCTTGTGAGGGAAGGTGGCCGACCCTCATCCTAAGCAGTTTATCCCAGCTTGCTTTCTAATCACACCCAGCGCCCCTTCCCGTCCCCCTCAGAGAAGGTTGCCCACCCAGCCCTCTTCCATCCCAATGGGAGCAGACAGAAGGCTACCCCGCTGCATCCCTGCCATGACCCACGTCAGCGCAGAAGCTAGCAGCATGGGCTTCGGGCCCGCTAGAGCTTGATTCCATTCCTGTGTGGCCGTGGGCAACTCATCTAGCTACTCTGTTCCTCAGTTCCCTGATCCATACGATGAAGACAGAAACCCCAACTCCTTAAGGCTTTTGAGGCTTAAATGAGTTGATGAAACAAAACGGTGCGAGGCCCGACCTGTTACTATCATCACTCCATTTAGGGGCCGTTTCCCTCATTTAACTGGGAAGTCCTTGAGGGCAGGAGTGGTCTGCTGCATACATCCCCCCAAGATGCTCAGGACACATCAGGTGCCTATGTAGAGATGGCTCTTGAGTTTATGCTCATTTAATAACCAGCTGGGCCTTTGCCTTTCAGGAAGGCTGGGTACCGGCATCTAAGAGAAAGCGCGGTTAGTATACGTGAAGCACCGGTAGGTGAACAAAGGGGCCTCACAGGAAGACGCCCCCACAAACCGAGTCCACTTTTCTGTGCCTCAGTTTTTGGAAAATAAAGAGCGCGACGGGTATTCTCACAAGGCTGCTGCAAGGCTGTTCCTGAACTGTGCTGCTTAACACGGTGCCAAGGGCACAGCAAGCGCCAATCAACAATAGCTGCTATTATTATCCTTTTAAGAATTATTGTTGCCCGGCGGGGCGGGGCTCAGCGGTTGAGCCTCGACCTGGGATCCAGACGATCGGGGTTCGACTCCGGGTCAGGGCACATGCCCGGGTTGCGGGCTCCATCAATGACTCTCTCATCATTGATGTTTCTATCTCCCTCTCCCTCCTTTCCTCTCTCTGAAATCAATAGAGGTATATTTTTTTAAAAAAAGAAAAGAATTATTGTTGAAGAAGTAAAAGCGAGCGCGCTTAGGTGTCTGGTGCTGGACCACGACCTCGCTGG